GGAAGTAATTTTCTCAGAGTTATTCAGCTAATTAGTTGCAGAACCAAAATATGGCTTCATTGGAACAGATTAACATATGCAAAGTCTGAGGTTGGAGAGATGGCTCAGTGGTTAAGAGCACTGACTGCTCTTGCAGAAGATCCAGATTCAAATCCTAGCATCCAAATGGCAGCTAACAACCATCCCTAACTCTAGTTCCAGGGGATCTGACACCTTCTGCTGTCTTCCACAGGCATTGCATGACGTGGGTGCACTTATAAACATGCAAGCAATACACTCATACACAGAAATTTTAAAAAATATGCAGTCTGACTGATGAAGCCTTATTGTGTAGTATTTGCAGAAAAACATCATTATTCTAATTTTTAGATTTCTGCTCATCCCACAAACTTTTTCAAGAAAGCATTTGCCTTATTTGTCAAATTAAGTTGTCTTATTTAAGTTTTTAGATTAGATTCTATTTAATATGTTAGAAGTAGTAGCTATTGAGTCAGGTGTGATGGTGAATGCCTCTAATACCAGCACTCAGGAGGCAGAGGTAGGTAGATCTCTATAAAATCAAGGCCAGCCTAGTCTACATAGTGAGTTCCAGGCCAGCTGGGGCTGCAGGGAAAACCTGTCTCAAAAAGATCAAAAAAAAAAAAAAAAAAAAGGAAGTAACCATTAAACTTCTAATAGTGAATAATAGTGATAATACTACCCACTTCATAAGACTGTTGCTTGCAAGGATTTCATGGATTGGATGAGATAATCAATGTATAGCGGCCAGTTGTCTATACTTGGTGGCTATCATGGTCATAACTGCTATGATGGCCCTGTACTCTCTTTATCTATTGTCTCCATACAAGAGCAGGATGGAGTGACTCCCTGAGGCCTTGGCTTCTGCCCAGGAGAATCTCTTTAATGTTCTTCCCACAAGTCATGGTCTTGGATGATGTTTGTTTTCACCAAAAAGGATGTCAGGCTTCATCTCTAGTGGGCTGTTCAAGTGCATGCCATATACTGGAATAACCTCAGGCCTCCAACTATGCCATCTACTGTCCATCCATTCTCTAATGTTTACTCTTGCATGGAATTTGGACCATGGTCAAAGTGACGTCAGTCTGACCTGTAGCTCATAAGCTTTATAGAGTCACCATCTCTGCACTTCTCCAGGGGGATGCTCTCTTTCAACGGTGTGTGTGGGGGGCATTATGATGAAGCACTTCAAGAAATTCAGGCCTGTTTGCCAACAAACAGGGTAAAAGGCCCTTCTTCCTTATATGGTGCAACATCTTCAGGATGTCTCATAGGCCAAGGGTGGTAGGGGTTCTTAGAACCAATTCTTTGGATGATAAAGGATAACAGTACAATTCACAGCTCCACCACCAGAAAGAGACTTATGACTGTAAATTATTGAGTAGTATATGCACTTTATCATATCATGTTATCCTCTAAGTAACTCGGTATCATAAGACATGGAAACGTTGTTGTTTAAATGATAAAGCATGGATTTTAGGAAGAAAGCATAAATGATTAGATAATGGAATTTTTTATTCTCCTTCAGGCTTCCGTGAAATAAGTCCTTACAGAACCCAGAAATAGGATCTTTTTAATTTCTGCAGAAGTAAAGTGTTTGCCTTGCCAATGTTCCCATAAATATTCCTTTACAACTTCCTTGTTTGATAGCCTGTAAGTCATTTTTAGCATGCTATAAGCAAACCAACTTGAGCTGCTAACCTTGAGAAGAATCTGAGCTATGAGGCCGAGAGTGACGGGCTCTGGTCATTGTTCTCTTCCTTCCCTTCCCTTCCTTCTTTCCTTTCTTTCTGACAGGATCTCCTTGTAGCCCCGGCTGGTCTGGAAGTCGCTATGTAGACCAGACTAGCCTGAAACTCACAGAGATCTGCCTGCCTCTGTCTCCCAAGTGCTGGGATTAAAGGCATGCACTATCATGCCTGGCTTGGTAGTAGTTCTTGAATCACATAAATCCCATTTCCCATGCGGCTGGATGGGTTGCCTGCCTTGTGGCTGTGTCCTCATTTATTTCTGTCAATGCTTTATTTTCTCTCAAGAAATTTTCTTTTGAATTTCTGACTTTTGAGATGACAACACAGAACGTTATGTTAAATAAAACAAGCCAGGGGCTGGGGAGATTGCTCAGTCTGCCAATCAAATACTTTTTGCATAAGTATAAGGACCTGAGTTAAATTCCTAGAACCCACGTTTAAAAAAAAAAAAAAGTCAGGCGCACACTTGTAATTCCAGCACTGGGGAAATGGAGATCAAAAGGTCCCCGGGGCTCTCTGGCCAACTAGCTTAGACTTATTGGTGAGCTCTAAGCCAGTGAGAGACCCAGTCTCATAAACAAGGTAGATGATTTCTGTAAAATGACACCTGAGGTTGACCTCTGCTTTCCACACACATGGCCATACCTGGGCCCACATGAACAGCACCTCCCCATACCCCCATATACATACAAAATGAAATAAGTCAGGTACAGAAAGACACATACCACACGATATTATATTGTGGGATCTAAAAGAGCCGAAGCAGGGAACACTGACTCTGTTTTTATGGAAGAAAGTGTAGTCAATTCTAGAAAAGAAAAAAAAAGCCATGCTTGTGTAGTGATGGCCCAGTGGTTAAGGTGATGGACTCGGAAGAACAAAAGTCAACTAAGGACTGTAAACGAGGGCAGTGAGATGGCTCAGTGGATAAAAGCACTTGCTGTACAGATTTCATGACCTGAGTTAAATCCTCAAATCCCACCATAGAAGGAGAGACCAGCCCCAAAAGTTATGCTCTGATATCCACATGAGTATTATGGCATGCAGGCACCCACACTCAAACACACACATCACACACACACCCCAAAAAACTGTGAGCCAAGTGTGGTGGCACACACCTGTAATTACAGCACTCATGAGACTGAGGGAGGAAGATAGTGCGTTTGAAACAGCTTAAGTTACATAGTAAGACCCTGTCTCAAATAAATAAAAAAGCCAGGCTTAGTGGTGCCCGCCTACAATCCCAACAACCAGGAGGGCAGGGGTTTTTATATGGATGTGTTAATTAGCTTGGTTTAATCATCACACAATGTAAACATATACTGAAACCTATATAAATCCCATGAATATGTATAATTATTATTTATAAGTTAAACATAAAATTTATACGATGAGATGCTCTTTATGGAAAATAAAATTTCTGAGGTTTAACACTCTTAGTATTCTACAGTTGTCTAATGCTTTACTGCCTTGAAACTAGCAAGTGAGTTTCTTAAAAGAAGTAGAAAGAATATGCCAAATTTCTATCACATTCTTTGTCCAAAACTCATATCTGACCTTCTAAAGGACAGGCTTGGGGGGCTGGAGAGATGGCTCAGTGGTTAAGAGCACTGGCTGCTCTTGCACAGGACTTAGGTTCAGTTTCCAGTACCCATATGGTGGCTAACAACTGTCCATAACTCCAGCTCCAGGGGATCTGATGTCCTTTTATAGTCTCCATGGGCACTGCACAGATATGGTGCACTTACATGCATGCAGGCAAAACATTCCTACACATAAACTAAAAATAAATTTAAAAAATTAAGAGACAGAGGGGATGTTGGAGATGTAGCTTAGTTGATAATCTGCCTAGCATGCAGGAAACCCAGGATTCAATCCCTATCACCCTATAAAACTGGGCATGGCACAAATCTGCCTGAAATTCCAGTATTTAGGAGGTAGAGGTAAGAGGACAGACAGTTCAAGGTCATCTTCAACTATGGAGGGAATTTGAGTCCAGCTTGGGCTCCACGATACCCTATGTTTTTTAAAGAAAAACAAAACAAACAAACAAACAAATCCTAAAAATGTCGGGGGTTTTGCTTGCTTGATTGATTGACTTTTGAGACAAGGTCTCACTAAGTAGTCCAGGCGGGCCTTGAACTCCTTATTTTTTTAAATTTATTCATTCTTTAATTTTTTAATTGATTTTTGCCAACTTCATACAATGTGTTTTGATCATATTTAGATCCTTTTCCCTATCTTCTCCCCTCTTACTATCCTCCACTCCTGTACTCATATATATATATATATATATATATATATATATATATATATATATTAAGGCCTACAGTTGGGTTTGTATCCCCCAAATGCCCTTGGAGTCAGTCTCCTTTAAGGGCCTTGAACTCTTGATCCTCCTGCTTCGGCTGGTCCCACATGCTGGGATTATAGGTGAGCGCTACCACACCTGGTTTATGGACACCTTTAATGAGAGAGTACATATGCCACTGCAAAGAAGTCTAGTCACAGATACAAGAATCCCAGGTTTTGATCTGATCAACATGGGAGCCAATGAAGTTTGTAATTCAGATCCTGAAGGATGTGTTAAGTTTGCCAGAGCTGAGGAAGGAAATTTCTTCACCGTGGGAGGAGACAAAGTATACAAATTCAGGATATCCGTTTACTTAGTATGAAAAGAATACAGAATGGAAAGTACCAGAATTCTGATTATTCTTGAAAGTGACGCACTAGCTGAAGATGCTTTGGTTTCTATTTCCCCTTGCCCAAATGCTTCTTGAATTCAAGGAGTGAAAGGAATTTGTTTTTCTTACTTCTTTTTTGAAGAGTTTGTTTTGTTTTGTCTTTTTGTTTGTTTCTTTGTTTATTTTTGGGACAGGCTCTCCCTGTAGCCCCAGCTGGCCTGGAACTCACTATGTAGACCAAGCTTGAACTCACAGAGATCCACCTGCCTCTGTTTCCTAAGTACTGGGATTTAAGGTATGCACCACCACACCCGGCTAAAACTGATTTTCATATAGCAAATTCCAGGTCAGCTGGGGTCACAGGGAGACCCTGCCTCAAAAATATTTTTTTTAATTGTGGTGAAACAGACTTTTCATCTTAGACACCTTTCCACATACTGTTCAGTGATTATTTTGCTGAATTCAAGTACTTAAAAGGGCACATATATTTTTAAACACATAGAATGCATTTTATTTTTCATATATAACTTTCCCATATCTATATGCCTATATCAGGTATTCTAGTTATAGAAAATAATGTGATGTAATATAGAATGTGGATGCAATTATGTGTGTCTGTGTACGTGGGCAGGCTGAGGATCCAGCCCAAGATCTGTCACACGCTGAATAGATGCCCTGCCCCTGAGCTATACCACAGTCCTAAATGAGAAAAAAAAAAATTTTTTTTTGTCTCACTATGTAGCTCAGACTGGCCTGGAACTCACGGTGATCCTTTTGAGTGCTGGAATTACAGTGTGAGCTACCACACCTGGATACTAAGTGCAATTCTTTTCCCTTTTTTTTTTTTTTTTTTTTTTTTTTTTTTTTTTTTTTTTTTTTTTTTTTTTTTTTTTTTTTGTTCTGTTTTTTGTTTGTTTGTTTGTTTTTGTTTTTGTTTTGTTTTGTTTTGGGGACAGGGTCTCCCTGTTTTTTCCAGCTGGCCTGGAACTCACTGTATAGACCAGACTGACCTTGATCTCACCAGAGATCCACCTGCCTCTACCTCCTGAATCCTGGGATTAAAGGCATGCACCACCATGCCCAGCTCATTAGGTTTTAACATTTGGTCTGTTGCATTTATCTGGATAATGCTTCTGGCTTGGTTTGATCTCCTTTTTTTTTTGGTGATACTATCTTTATATTTCAAAATTAAAGGTAAAAACCTTGGCATTGTGGCTCACACCTGTAAGCTCGGCACTTAGAAGGGTGAGGCAGGAGAGTTGCCATGAGTTTAAGAGCAGCCTGGGCTATGTGCAATTTTTATAGAAACTGTATAATATAGTTCACTGCCAACATGCAAGACAGAAATAATGACAGACACCAAGGTGGAGGCTGTAATTACCACAAGGTCACAGTCTTGTGATGGTGTTGGCACATTTGGTTCAGACATGCTAAGGTCTAAAGCCTATTCTCCACAACTCTTCTCCAAGGTGAGTGTTTCTTTTCCTTGTCTTACATGTCCAAGTCATGGTGGAACAACTCAGGTGCTGGCATTTATTTCAAACAATGGGAGACTTTACTCTTGCTACTCTTATTTAAGCAGCCACATTTTCAAGGCTGGGCACATCTGTGAGAACTGATGGCTTAGAGCATCCCAGAGTGAATGGATGCGTGCAGGTGGCTCGAGGTTAACCCTTTCCTGTAGAGTAACCACCCCTGTATGATCTCTGCAGGAACTAGCCGTGCCTGTGGTCCATGATGGTGGTGCCCTTCTGGCTTTTGTCTGTGGTGTGGTATACACACTCCTGCAATCCATCATCTCTTACAAATCATGTCCCCAGTGGAACAGCCTCTTGATGTGCCACGTACGGATGGCCATTTCTGCCGTTTCCTGCGCAGCTGTCATCCCCAGTATCCTTTTCACATTGGTTAGTTGTCAAGTATGGTGAGGAAGACTGTTCGTCAGGCCATAGCAAGCTGGAGCGACCACGGAAGTGGAGTCCTGTAGAGAGGAGAGGGACTGGCTCACCAAGTACAGCATGGGTAAGTGGGAATTATAGCCAGGGAAGCAGCTCAAGGGTCAGTGGGCAGGAAAGTACTAAGAGGAAACATGAGATCACAGGGGGATTCTGGATAAGCACGTCTGACATTCTTGCAGGAGATAGGCCAGGGATATCAGACATCACTGGACGGATGGTTTTAGGAGAAGTCTGTTCAGATAACCAGAGAGGGATCAGATACCAAGAGTGGGGGTGGTTATTAGAGTTTGTATTGCTGTGACAAAATTCCTGGCAAGCAACAGCTAATGTCAGGAAGGCTTTATTTTGGTTCAATGTTTTAGAAGTTCAGCCTGTGGTTCATTGGGCCCATGTACTTGGGAAGAATATTATGGTGGTCCAAGTATGTGGGCAGAATTTCTTTGCCTCATTTTGTACTGGGGGGGGAGAAAAAGGGGAGGGAAAGAGAACAGAGAGAGGGGGAGGGGAGAGAAGGAGAGAGGAAGAGAAGAGAAAGGAGAGGGAGTGAGAGAGAGAGAAGGAAACAAGAAGAGGAGGAGGAAGAAAAATAGGCTAGGATCAAGACCCCAAGAACTGGCCCTCAGTGACCTACTTCTTCCCGATATGTCCCGCCTTATAAGTTTCCAGACCCCCCTCAATGGTGTCACCATGAACCTTTTGGAGGAAGGAAGACACTTCCTCATATCTAACCATAACCGGATCTGCTTAAGTTGATCTTCCGAGTTTGTTATACTGAAGACAGATGGGCCTAGAAGGAGGTTCAGGATCCAGACTACAGTTCAGCTAAGCAAAGAACCTTGTCATAGTGTATGAGCAAGTCTAATGTTTCCTCTACACCCTGTACCAAAAGCATTAAAAAAGCAAACAGTGATGACCAAGTTTCCATACTCTTAAGGAGAACAAACAGAGAAAATTGCAAATCATTAAGCAAGTATTAGATTAGAAGAATCATTGAGGAAAGGCTGGAATGAGAGGGGATGGAAGAAAGAAGGAGCACTCCGGCCTGTTTACTCTCCTCTCCACAGTCAGTCTGAGAGCCATATGAAAATATTTATTTTTCTTTGTAGTGCTTGACTGAAGACATCAAATATTGATATTCTACTTAAAGAAATAGTCTTGTGAAGTCCCAAACTTCCATATTTGCTGGGCATAT